AAGTCACTCCTGAGGTTCACCATTCAGCCAAAGATTAGACAGGCCCATAAAACAAAATGAGACTAATGGGGCACAACAGTCAAGGAACGAGGACTAGAAGGCAGGAGGGAACAGGAAAGCTGGTAATAGGGAACCCAAGGTTGAGAAGGGACAGTGTTGACATGTCATGGGGTTGTTAACCATTGTCATAAAATAATATGTATGCTAACTGTTTAATGAGAAACTATTTGTTCTGTAAACCTTTATCTAAAGTACAATAAAAACATAAAATATATATAGAAAAACTATAAAAGTGACCACATAGATATGTGAAAGAACAAAATAGAATTTACAGATTTAAAAAAATATAATAATTGAAACAAAAAACTTCTGGAATAGGTTTCTCAGCAGAGAGAATTGGTGACTGAGAGAGGTTTGAAGAAATTTCCAGAATGCGGGACATAAATATGAGAGGTTAAAAAATATAAATATGGCAGAGACATTGAGAGACATGGAGGATGGTATGAGAAATCTTAAGGCTTTACAAATTTTTAACTGCGGTGCAGTAAATTACTTAATATGGTCCTTCTAGCCACAGTCTTTGTGATTCTCACACAATGATTGAGTGGGACCATGCAAATAAGGTGTATGGAATCCTAATGAGGTATGGTGGTTGGTGTTGTATGTCGGCTTGGCTAGGCCATGATTCCTAGTATCGTGTGGCTGTCTTCCATTTTGTGATCTGATGTAATTATCCTAATTATCCTCCATTTTATGTGTTGTAAATCCTAACCTCTATATATTAATGAGGCAGGATTAGTGTGGGGTATATCTTGAGTCACAACCTTGCAGGAGAGTATGACTCAAGTCCCACCCTTACTCAAGTCACACCATTCCCTGGGGTGTGGCCTACATCTAATGTATATGTGTGGGTGCTCTGGGAGGGCTCTCTTTCTCCATCTGAATCCTGCATCTGGCTTGTCATCATCTGACCTCTGGTTCTTGGAACTTGAGCCAGTGGCCTGCTGTCTGACCTGCCGATTCTGGGATTCACCAGCTTCTGCAGCCCTGTGGGCCAGCAGCCTATCGTCTGATCTAATTTGCCAGCTTCCACAGTGTCTTAGTTATCTAGTGCTGCTATAACAGAAGTACCACAAGTAGATGGCTTTAACAAACAGAAGTTTATTCTCTCACAGTTTAGGAGGCTAGAAGTCTGAATTTGGGGTGCCAGCTCTAGCAGAAGGCTTTATCTCCCTGTCGGTTCTGAGGGAAGGTGCTTGTCTTCAATCTTCCCCTGGTCCAGGAGCTTCTCAGCACAGGGACCTCAGGTGCAAAGGACGTGCTCTGCTCCTGGCACTTCTTTGTTGGTAGTATGAGGTCCCTCTCCTCTCTGCTCACTTCTCTCCTTTATGCTCAACAGAGATGGACTCAAGATACAACCTAATCCTGTAGATTGAGACCTGGCTCATTAACATAACTGCCTCTAATCCTGCCTTATTAACATCATAGAGGTTAGAATTTACAACATACAGGATAATCACATCAGATCACAAAATAGTGGACAGCCACACAATACAGCCTAGCCAAGTTGACACACATTTTGGGGGAACACAATTCAATCCATAACATGCAATCTTGTGAGCCAGCAGCCTGTCGTCTCACCTGCTGATTTGGGTTCTTTGGCCCCTGTGGCCACGTGAGTCAGGAGAAGCCTCCACCTGACCCACAGATTTGGGACTTCTCACCCTCCACAACCATGTGAGTCATTTCCTTGATACAGTTCATGAGTTGTGTGAGACATTGCAGCGAATTACAAAACCCAAAGATGGGAGGGAGAATACTGAGGGAGGGGAAGAGTAGTTGCTGTTACAGATGATGGAGTGGTACAGCAATTTGGAAAAAATTGACATTTGGGACATCTTTAACTTCTGCCTCATAGGAATCAGCTTCTTGCTGATCCTTATAAAAGAAATCATTCATTTATTACCATGAACCACAGTAAGAAATGCTTTTTACTTGTGACTTACTACAAAGACGTGTATAGTTATGTTAATAAATACAAATGATACAAAATTATCATGAAATAATACGACACACTCCCAATATTTTCTTTTTCTTCTTTCCCTTTCTTTCTTTCCCAATGCAGGTGACCACCTGATCAGGTAATGCCATAATCCACTGTTGGGAAACAACCTACAGTATGAAAATCACCAGTCTAATAAGCCACTAATCAGAGTTCCAAAAGAAGAGAGAGAGAGAATGGGGCAGAGGTAATATTTAAAAGAAATATTGTCTCAGAATTTTCCAAAACTGATGGAAGACACCAATCAACAAACTCAGGAACCCTAAAGAATTCAAGGCAAGATAAATAAAAAGATACATCATGGTGAAACTGCAGAACACTAGAACAGAGGGGAGAAAACGTAGATAATCGTCAAAGGAATGATGGCAATGGAAGCTGGAAAACAGTGGATATTATCCTCAAAGTGCTGACAATAACTGTCAATCTAGCAAGCCAGTCAAAACGTCTTCCAAGAGCAAGGGCAAAACAAAGACATTTTCAGACAAACGAACAAACTCTCATGGAAATAAAGTTTAAAGGATGTACTTCAGGTACAAGGAAAGTGACTCCAGTTGTAAGTTCTGAGATGCTAGAAGAAAAGATGAGCAAACAAACTGGTAACTGCGTAACCACAGTTAATCTTAACACTGACTGTATACAGTAATTTAATAATGTTTCATGGGGTTATAAAGGAAAAGATTAAACCTCCAATATACTACGGTGAAAACATATAAATTAGGGGAGACGTGATCAGCGTTAAAGTGTTTCTTCATTGTATTTTAAGGGATAAGGGTAAAGGTTTATTTATTAAAATTAGACTTTCATAAGATGGGTAAGGGGCCCTGGTGGCACAGTGGTTAAGAGCTACAACTGCTAACCAAAAGGTCAGCAGTTCAAATCCACCAGCCCCTCCTTGTAAACCCTACGGGGCAGTTCTACTCTGTCCTATTGGGTTGCTATGAGTCGGAATCAACTCGATGGCAACAGGTAAGATGGTAATTACTAAAATGATAGAAATAGTGTGTATAAAAGGAAGAATAATAGAATAATAACAAAAAAAGTCAACCCCAAAGAAGCAAGAAAGGAGAGGAAAAAGAAAAAAACAGGCAGGGCAAATAGAAAGCATAAAATAAGATGATAGAAACAAATCCATATATATCAGTAAACATAATAAGTGTAAATGGACTAAGAACTCCAGTTAAAAGATAAAGATTATCTTTAAAAAACAGAACAAACAACTTTGTCCTTATGAAAAATTTCAAGCATACAGGAAAGTAGGAAGAATAGTACAAAGAACACCCGTGTACGTGCTGTGTAGGTTCAACCATTGTCATCTGTATGTATGTATACCAGATACCACTTGCCATGAGTTGACTTTGACTAACAGCGACTCTATGTGTGTCCGAGTAGAACTGTGCTCCATAGGGTTTTCAATGGCTGATTTTTCAGAAATAGATCACCAGGCCTTTCTTCTGAATATGTATGTATAGGAGAGTATTAAGAACACACATTTTATGTAGCAAACATTCTATAGTAAAATAAAATAAAACAAAAGTTAGATAGTAATAATGATGTAGAATGCTCCATTTTGAGGTCAAGCCAATCCCAGCAATTTTTAAACCTGTATTTATGTGTATGGTTATTTAGTGAAAGGATGTTGCTCCACTAGGCTGTACTAGGAAGCAAGACGGTAGGAACTATGTCAACTTTCCTGACCTTTGTATCTCTAAATATTTGTTACATAAACAAATGGTACGTATTAGCAAAGATTCAGCACAGCGCTTGTGACGTTGTAAACATTCAATGTATAGTAGCTTTTACTTATTAAAGTGGCTGTTGTTATTATTGAAAGCATTCAGCTGAGTGTCTGGCACAAAATAAGCAAGCAATAATTGCTCGTTTATTATAATTATTAGTTACGATCCGTTACAGTGCCTAGCCCACATCATGCATTCACATTATAAACATCATGTTTATAAGAAGATGAATAAATAGTACTTTTGTTATTGCTCAAAGCCCCTAACAGTGCCTGGCACTAAATAGGCAAGGGAAAAATGGAGTTTATTCTTATTAATTATTATCATGGAATAGAGCATTTAATGCAATGGCCGGCCCCCAAAAGGCCCTTAATAAATGAATAGTCTCGGCGGAGACTGTTACCATTTCTGGGCAGCCTGGAGCCGCCCCGCCTCCCGAGCTTTGAGAAGCCCCGCCCCGCGACTGCCCGGCAGCCCCGCCCCCCGCGCCTGCCCGGCAGCCCCGCCCCCCGCGCCTGCGCACTGCCATCAAGAAGGGCTCCGCGCGCGCTGCTTCCCCCTCCCGCCCCTGGAGGCGGTGCAGGGCGCCGCTTCCTGCCGCGTGCGTGCGTCGCTGCGTGCGTGCGTGCGTGTGTGCGTGCGTGCCGCGAGCTCGCCGGGCACCGCGGCCTCGCCCTCGCCCTCCGCCCCTGCGCCTGCACCGCGTAGGGTGCCCCCGCCCCCACGCACTCCGCCGCGACCCCCGCCCGCGCCCCTCTGGCTTTTTTTTTTTTTTTTTAAATTTAAAGGGGGCGTAGCATTCACACTTCCCGCCTCAGGTGACTTCTCAGGGGTCTCCCAGCCAAAGGTGCCGCGCCGCCGAGGAACATGGCGAAGGTGGAGCAGGTCCTGAGCCTCGAGCCGCAGCACGAGCTCAAATTCCGAGGTAAGCCGCGGAGGCCCCCGCCCGGGCCGCCATGTTCCGGCCAGGCCCGGCTGGCGCCTGGGCCGCGCGGCCCCACCCGAGTTCTGTGGGGACAGGCCCGGCGCCGGGTGACGTCGCCCCGCGCCCGCCCTGTGCCCCCGCAGCTGTCAGGAGCCGCCTGGGCCGGAGAGGCCGCGTGCGGGGGCTGCTCGGATGCCCCCGGCCTACCGGGGCGCCTCGCCTTCAAGGGACTTTGTCACAGTTGGTATTGCCACTGTTGTCGCCTGGTTTGTAGCCTTGTGTTCTGGAGTGTGCGAACTGGCTGCTCCGGTCACCTAGAAGGTTCTTCCCCAGCTCTTCCCAAGGTTGACCTCCCCAGGTCTCAGCTCAGATGTCACCACCCTGTGATCCAGTGGACACCCGTCACGTCCTGCCACCGCCCTTTGTTCTGTGGTCTGCAAGACGCTTGTCACGACCTCAGACTACCCACTAACTAACTTGTTTACTGTCTTTCCATGCTAGAAGGGAAACTCCATGAGGACAGGACGTGTCATTCCGCTGTGCACCCATTAGGCGGCCAGTCCATGTTGAGCAAATGAATGAAAGAAACTTCCACAGGAGTTGTGATGGGACATGGCCCAACTTTCCTTCTAGTGTCTTCTTACTCATGTTCTGCAGCTGACAGGATGGTAGGATCCGATTTGTCCCCAGAGCTGCCTGGAGCTGGAGCCAAGCAGTACATGAGTTTGTGACAAGCCAGGGCCTTGGTTCCCGGGTGAACCTCCCACCTGAGTCGCTTGTACCTTTATGTTTCTTAACTTTTTTTTTTTTTTTTTTGGTCTGTGTTCTCCACCAAAATATAAGCATGTGAGCCAACAGGGACCTTGTCTAACTTGCTCATTCATTCTTTCCACATGTGTTGAGCATTTAACTGTGCAGTAGGCATGTGCTTGGCACCCGGAGACAGCGGTAAACAAGACGAACAAGATCCCTGGTCTCAGAGAGCTTACATTCCAAAGAGAGGAGACAAACAGACCAGTGAACAAACTCACGGGATCACTGCAGATAATGTTAAGTGCTGTGAAGGACATAAAACAGGCTGATGTGGTGGAGGTACACTTCAGACTGGACGGCCAGGCACCACTGTATTCCCAGCACATGGCCCACAGTAGGTACTCCATAGGTATTTTTGGAATGAATGCTGGCCAGGGGCACCCAGTGAATATGCACTGTTAGGAAGCAGTGTCGGGTGACTTGCCCAGAGTTACCCAGTTGGCAAGTGGCACATCTGAACGCAGACTTCAAAGCCTGCACTTTTAACCATTATGCTGTGTGACCTCTGGGAAATACTCCAGAACTGTGACTGTCACATTGCCTCCTAGGTACATAATCTGAAATGACTCCAAATGGAACTGAAGGTTTTCCAGTTAAGATTAGAACAAGCAACAAAACGAAGTGCTAAAACCTAGCACAGATCATAATTCTGTGACAGTACTTTGGTTTGTGTGATGTTCTCATGGCTTTCTCCTGGAGGAGCCAGGCTGGGGAAGGAATCCAAGTCACTGAGTGAATGTGGTGAGAGATGGTTTCCCCTTGAGTCATCTTGAATTCTCTGTCCGGGAAGCCTGACTCTGGTTACTCCTGTGGCTTGGTGCATTCATTCATTTAGGCCACAAACATTTACTGAGTGCCTACTATGTGTCAGATGCCAGGAGAAGCTGAGTCACATGAGGTGTACTTTCTGCATTGGCCCCCAGCCCCCCACCCCAGTACTTAAGTTTAGGGAAGGGGGCAGCTAAGCAATTTGATAAGGAGGTCAACTCCTAGAAGAGGTATCATTTGAGCTGAGTTACAAAGGCCGAATGGAGGTAGCCTAAAAGAAGAAACGGGTGGGGACATTTGAGGCGGAGGGAATTGCGTGTACGAGGTGCAAAGGTTGGGATGATGGGACCTCTTTGGGGTGCTGCTAGTAGTTCTGGGTGACATCTGCAGAGAGCGTTTGTTGGGGGTACAGGGCCAAGTGGAGATGAGGATGGAGAGTAGAAGTCGGACACAGCAGTGTCCCAGTTAACCTCGTGGGCCGCTTATCAGACGGTCCTCCCTGGGTTGACCCCAGCAGTTCCAGGTCCCCATCCCAGTACCAGCACTGCTCCAACATGATGTTACACAGAAAGAGGCACCGATTTGAGAAAATATAAGTACCAGTTCATTCACTTAAAGACGTGTTACCTTGAGTGGACCTCTTCACTCTCCAAAATCTCGAACTACTTGGGTCGTTAGGGATGACGCTCATGTCCTATTTGCCTCCTTCAGAAAGCTTTGTTGTTGTTTAGAAACAGTGATCTATGGCTGTTCAATGCTTTGTAAATACAGAGATTGGTGGTTGCATCTAGACAACTGGTTTCATGACTTCAGCTTTTCAGTGATATTATGACTGTTCAGTACTTTGTAAACATATATGTTGGTGGTTGTATCTAGACAGCTGGTCTCATGGCTTCAGCTTTTCAGGGGTATTATGGCTGTTCAGTGCTTTGTGAACATATACGTTGGTGGTTGTATCTAGACAGCTGGTGTCATCACTTCAACTTTTCTCTACTTGAAAGGCGTGGCAGAGAAGAATGATCTGCCTGGCCCTGAGTTGTCCAAAGCAGCGATGGCCAAATTTACTGGATGTTTTTCCTAGGGAAGTGGCCCAGGAGAAGGCCTGGTGTCAAATTGTTGAAGACTGTTGGCTCACAGCTTCAAAAGAGGCATATGCAGGCATGTGTAAACCACATTACGAAGTGGTTTTTGTTTTGTTTTTAAAGGTGAACACTAAGACAGTGACATTAGAATAGAGGCTCAATGCTGTGGCTTGCTGGATAGAGAGAATTCATTTCAGGATGAAAACTGGCACATTTAATTGACCTCTTCCAGGTTACTCAGGGTGATGACTCTGACTTCTGGTGGTTTACTTTTAAGAAGGATCAAACGTCTGAGCTAACTTTGTTTAGGAAAGTTATAATTAAAACGCCTGTCACCTGAAGGGAAAACGTTAATCATCTTTTAAGTGCCGGCTAAGATGATGGAATGGGATTGTATATCATTAAATTGTTTTTAAACTCTGGAATTTTGTGTGGCTATGTTAAATTTAAGGCCGTTATAGAAGAAAAGAGGACACGGATTTCTGTGACCTTGTTCAGTCTTGTACAAAATAGTACACTGGAGAGTGCTAAGTAGCAAAAGGAGAAAGACCAATGTCTTCCTGAAAGAAGAAGACACAGTGGGATTTGCCTAGATTTGAGGTTGATTTTCATGAGATGTGTTTAAGAAGTCAGCAACATGAGAAGCTCTCCCAGACCAGGGAGATGTTCTGAGAGTTAAAGGTCTTTGGAAGCCTGTAGAATGGGTGCCTTTTGCATTGCCCCTCTTTCTGTTGATCTCAGTTCTTCCCAGGCCAAACCTTTGCTGCCTCCTCTGAGGTCCCACTTGTTGCCCAGCTTTCTGAATGAGTCACTTTCAGGGCATTTGTATCACTTCTTTTCTTTCTTCTCCTCTCCCTCCCCCTCCATCAGATTCCATCTGCTGTAAATAGTACGCCTTGTATTTTATTTGGTCAATGTCCAAGACTCTTAATCCTTCTTCACATCCTAGTACACTCCCCGGCGATGATACCGTCACATGAGAGTGCTCCGTTGACCGTCTTCATGAGCTGATTAGTTAAGGTTTAAACCTACTGTGGACCTATTTACTTTTGCCTTATTCTGAAACTTCCATTGGCCTTCAGGACATCTCAGAGTCTCTGTTGGTCACTGCTTTTGGAAGAAGAAAGGAATTTGGGCACCATAGATGGTAGGTGACTGTCTTTTGTATAAGGAAAGCATGCTTAGAATCACTACTTCACCCTTCAAGTTGATGTGTAATTTAAGATTGTTTAGGAAGTTAAGAAGTATAAAACCCTGTGGATATAGTCAGTACAATGCAGTAATTATCTTTCAGACGGTAAGTATAGCGTTAATTCTTCAGCTTTAGTATAGCACTGATCTCCTTAACATTTCATGATCACATAGAGCAGACCGTGTTTTACAGCACAACAAAATGTCAGCAGTGTGCTTAAGATTCTTTATGATAGTGGTTTCGGTCCATCCTGAATAGATTGTCTTCATTTATTTAATTATTACCAGCGTACTCATCAAAGCAAGTGGCATTAAATTTACTAAGCTCGAGTCAAACTTGAATCTTCATAGATTGTAGTGTTCACTTCTGAGTTCTTGTTGCTGGGAGAAAAATGTTAACTCTCTTCTAACCATTTGTTCACTTCTTCACAGTAACTCCTTAGGGAAAAAACATGGATAGTTGTTGGCCATGTGCTCTTATTTGGAAAGTGGTGATCTTTCCTTGGTGTGTGTGGTTGTAACATGTGTCACAGTTATCTTAATTACCTGGGAGCTTTTCATCTAAGTGTGGATTTATTAAAATAATTAGTCTGAATTGTTGCTTATTAAGGAGATGAACTCTTAGACATTGTTAACACTGTCTTTTATTTATGACAGTTACATAGCATCTTCCCTTTAAATGCTGGCGGCAAAATACTGAGAACTTAGACCCTGCAGTATTACCACTAAGTAGTTGAGGGGTCAGGGAAGTAAATTACATTGGCCATCACTCAAATACAACCCCGAAGCTCAATTTTGAGAACCCAGAACTTTAATTTTTACATAAGGAGTTATTGCCAACATTGACTCTTACTTCTTCAATTTGTATTTGAAAAATTTGCCATCTAAAGGATGACCATGATTTGGGACAAATGAGCACAGCTTTCAGCAAGATGACAAGAAAGATGAATGTAAAGAGCGCTGGGCTCTATTAGTCAAGACAAGCTTGCCACAGAGTGTCTTTAATAAAATAAAAGCCTTCTATACAGCTATTTTGCCCAAGGATTGTGTTAAAAACAAAGTTGCATTATGGGTTCCAAGCTGGCTCCCTCGTTTTCTCTCATTTTTAGTCCCTTTCAGGCCATCAGCAGCACAGCCTAGCCAGGA